TGTGTTTTAATTATATGAGTGAGCAGAGTGGAATTGCAGGTCGTTTGTGATAACAGTAAACTAAGCTGGCTTGTTTGGGCACGAATAAAACAAATTTCGGCTTAAAAATGAAAAAACACCTAAGTCAGAGCGGACACAGAGTGCCCAGCGGGCGCAGGACACCATCGAGCCGCGGTCCTCCTGCCTTCCTAGAGCGGCGCTCCTACAGCCGAGCGCATGCGCAGGGTACGGGGAGCCGACTGCCGCGGGGTCCAGACCGTGCTGGGCAGCGCGGAGCTCCTCCTCCGGTTGCCAGCGGCGAGAGGTGACTGTGCTCCGGGCTCGGGAGGAACTGCGGCCCAGGGCCGGGGAGCGCCTCGTCCCCCACCGGACTTCCGCGACGGAGTGGCCGCTTCGCCGGGGTGTCCGGGACGCGAGTGTCGCTCCCGGGCCTACGAGACCGTGGAGCCGTGCATCCCGTTCACGGGGCGCCACCCCTGGCTGCATGCTTTGCATCCATTAAGCGCCATTTCAATACGTATGAAAGGTAAGCCTTAGAAGGTCACGTTTGAGCAGAAACCTGCAGGAGGTGAAAAGACCTATGTGGCTTTTGGGTGCACAGAGGCAGAAGGAAGAGCAAGTGCAAAGGCCCTCGAGCGGCGCTTGCTTGACGCGCTCCAATAGCAGGGAGACCGGAGTGGCTGGAGCAAGGCGGAGCTCGTCCAGACGATCCCGCAGGGACTGGGGGCCGGGGGGCGCTGTAGATAAGTGCCCATTGTGTCGTGTTAGGAATTTGGTCATTTCTTGGTGTGCAGGTTTTTGGAGGATTTTGAGCAGAGGAAAAGCATCTGATTGATGTTTTAAAGCATCTGTAGCTGAGACCCGCGATGAGAATAGACTGTAGAGGGGCAAGAATGTAACCAGGGAAGCTTCAAAGTTGGGTAATTGCCTGTAATTCCGGTAGGAGATAAGGATATCTTGTCTAAGTATTATGGGAGAAGTGGTTAGTGGTGGTCAGATTGATGATCTACTTTGAAGGTAGAGTCAACAGGATTTGCTATTGGATCAGACGTGGGTTGTGAGAGTAAGAGAGAACGCAAAGATAAACGTAAGGTTTTCGGCCTGTGGCTGCAAGAGATAATGGAGGAAAGTTCTGAGGTTCAGCTTTGGGACCTTGAGTAAGTTATTTAACTCTCAATGTCTCCGTTTCCTTTTCTGTACAATGAAGTTAGTAATAGTGTCTTCTTGATAGGGCTGCATTAGTGAGTCGAAGCATATAGAACAGTCGTGCTGGCTTGTTTTATTAAGTGGAGACATGAAGACTAAATGGGCATTAATTAGAAGAAAATTGGAAGGTCGAAGATGTTCTGGGCAGAAGGAGTAAGATGTGGAAGGATCCAGGAGCAGGAAAGAGTATTGCAAGTTAGAGGGGCTGAAAGTTTATTAGATAATAAGAAAAATTTAAACCATATTAAATGTTTTGAACTTGATCCTAAGGGTAACAATGAGCCATTAAATGCAATATGCAAAGCAAAGACATAATCATATTTCCTCTTTATAAAGATCACTGCTGCAGTGTGAAAAATAGATTGGTGAGTAACAAAGACCAGCCGCAACAGTCTCGATAGGAGAACAGTCTCGATAGGAGAACATGGTGGCAAAGAGGACCAAGAGAAGTGGATGGTTTGAGAGATACTTAGGTGGAATCAATAGAACTTGATCGATCTGATACATGAGATATGAAAGGAGGCTGGACGGGTCATGTTTTCAAGTTATTTATGATATACTGTGTTTGACATATTTCATCACATCACAGAAACGAGCCACGGCTAATTGTACACTATATGCCTCTATTGCTCAGGGCTTTCCACAGAAGCAGAACCAGTAGGCAGTATGTAGATACACGTAGATAGAGATTCATCATAAGGAATTGGCTCGCGCAGTTCTGAAGGCTGGCAAATCCCAAGAGCTGCAGAGTGGACAGCAAGGTGGAGGCCCAAGAGAGCTGATGCTTTAGCTCCAGTCTGAATCCAAAGACCTGAGAACCAGGAGGTTCGATGGTGTAGTTATAGTCGGAATGCCAGCAGGTTCAAGACCCAGGAAGAGCTGATGTTTTAAATCAAGTCCAAAGGCAGGAAGAAAGCTGATGTCTCAGTTTGAAGCCTGTCCGGCAGGAAGAATTCTCTCTTAGTTGGGGGAAAGTCAGACTTTTTGTTCTGTTCAGACCTTCAACTGATTGAATAAAGGTCACCCACATTGGGGAGAGCCATCTGATTTACTCAATTTACTGATTTAAATGTTAATCTCATGCAGAAACACCCTCACAGAGACACCTAGAATAATGTTGGACCAAATATCTGGGCACCCCATGGCCAGTCAAGTTCTCAGATAAAATTAACTGCCCCAATATTAAACTTTTATTTCTGGCTAATAATATCACTTTCTTGCCCCTCCTCACTTCCATTAAGAATAGTAGGATTTGGCTTTTTAAATTTTAAGTCCATTTTTGACAAAGAAAATTATACATCAGCTGGGAGTGTTATTATGTACACACCCAGGAAAATCTAACGGCAAGCTGTGTTTGGAGCTCAGCCAGGCGCAGCCACTAACTGAGTGAGACCCCGTCCCGATGCATGTTGATTCAAAGCCAAGTGTCAGCTGTCGGAAGGTGCTATTCCACTGATCTTTAGAGTCACTCAGAATCAAGAGTGATGAGTCCCCACATCTCAAAGGCTTGCTCCAAAGGATGCTGGTGGAATTTTCTGAGTTGACTTTTGACATGTGGGATTTGAGAGGCTTCTGTGAGGTATCCGGGTACCAGATGGACAGAAGGAAATATGGATGTGGTGTCACCCTTGAGGTGTCTGTGCAGTAAGGAAATTATCGACATAAAAGTAGTAATTAAGTTACAAACATACCTGGCCTCTACATGACCCCTTCCTAGTTTCTGCCCTGTTCCTCGCCTTCTATTCGGTGTTTTTGTTTTTTGAAAAGGTAATTTTTCTCATTCTTTTCTTGTTCTCATTTTCCTATGGCAGGCTGACTGTTCTCCCTATGTCAGTAACAAAATTGCCTTCACAGAAGTCACATTGACCTCTGTGTTATTTTAATTAAGTGCATACACATGACAGGTTTTAGATTAATCTGCCATCCTATAGCATTTCACACTCTTGAGTACTGCCTCTTTCTGAATTTGCACTGCTTACAATTATTATCTCATTTACCTTAAAACATCTCTGTGAATTAGGTGTTATTTGCACCTTACAAATGAGTAAACTAGGTTCCGAGAGGATAAGTAACTTGTCCCGGGGCATGCTGCTTGTATGTGACAGGGCTGGATGGCAACCCAGGCTTGTCTGAGGTGCAGGCCCTTCCCACCAACCACTCCACATTTTCAGGAGTCGCTCTCCTAGGCCTTCAGGATACTGCTTGCACTGTCTTCTCTCTGCTCTTCCGTACGTGAAGGTGTCTCCCGCCTCCACGCCACATAACCAGCTATGGGACTGCCTGTGTATGCCAGGCTGTCGTACAGCTCCGACTTCTCACTGTTGGCAAAACCCTTGTCCTGTTTTTTGGTCTGCCTCACTTTCATTTGTCTTTTAAGACTCAGAAGGACTGGCCTTTAGGAAGCTTTTCCTGACCTGCTTGTGGGAGTGGGTGTCTCAGCACGGTGCCCAGCTAATGCCCAGTGTGTTGGACTGTCACTGCTCCTTCATCTGGACTTCCTGCGAAGCAGAGCTGTGGAGGCTGGCAAGCTGTTCTGACCTGTGCCTGGCGCACAGCGGACAGTCAGAAAGGAGACGACTGAACGCCGAGCGTCCTTAGCAGTGCAGACAGTGCTCTCAGTGAACATAGCAGTCTTGCTTGTCCTGTATCTTTCCCTCCACACTGTGAGAATTTTCAAATCTCTAGACCAGTTGAAAGGATAGTCCAGTTAATACTCTGTCCCCTCATGTAGTAGCAGTTAATTAACTTCCTGCTGTGTGTGTGCTTTCTCTCTTCACAGCCCCCTCACACACACACACAGTCACACACTTTTTCTTCTGGAAATATTTGAAAATAAGTTTTAGCAGCGCCTGCTGAGAATAAGGACATTCTCCTAGGTGACCACAGACGTCTTCTCTAAAGGGCCTGGTACTGAATGTTTTCAGAACGTGCAGGTGACACAATCTCCATGGCAACCACTCAGTCCTGCCAGGGTGTGCAAAGCAGGTGTCACGAGACCTATGGCAGCGGTGTGGCTGTGTTCCAGCAAAGCCCTGCACACAGAACAGGCTTGGGGCTCTGGTCAGCTGGGCCACAGTTTGCCTGCATATCATTCATGTTTACATTTCTGAATTCTTCAAGACAAATTTGTATCTTTTGTAACTCGAGCCAATTTTACGCATTGCATCTTGCTGTGCTGCTTTAATCTAGAACTACCTTCCCCACACCTTTTGTTTTTCGTGAAATTGACTGTTTTGAAGAATGCTTGCCTGTTGTAGCTGAGCTGTATTCTGAATTTATTTGGAAGTTTCCACGTTAGAGTCATGTGAAACACTTTTAGTAAAGATGCTTCATAGGTGTGAAGGCACAAGGTCAGTTGTCCAGCCACTGGGTTGCTGGGTTTGGTCACTGGGTGAAGTTTGTGATATCGCCTTTTTCCTCTTGTAATTGATAAGCAGTGAGTCGGGGATCCGTGGAGACTGTGAATGTCCTTCCCCCCACTGCTGTCCCCAGCAGCTATGCCCACTTGTGGCCCCTGATTGAATCAGTTATTTCATCATGGGTTACAACATGAGGGTGTCTCAGGTCTGTTATTCGCGCTGTGTTGGCTGGCGGGGTCATGTGGAACAGTTTTCTCATTTTATATGTGTGCTCCTTTCTTAGGCATGGTTGTGTGCTCCTTTCTTAGGCATGGTTGTTCTGGAGAGGGAAAAATGGAGAGTGATTCTGGGACATGTACACCCCCAGCGAAGGGGTGTTGCTGTTGTGACTGTTGTAGCTGCTGCTACGACTGCATCTGTGATTCTTGCTCTTCCATGTCCAGGAGTGCCCCTGAGGGATGGCCACAGTGCTGGGAACGGCGCCCTCCCTGGCCCCTCTGAATCTGAAGAAGGAGGGGCTTCAGGTAGTGAAGCAGGATCACTGCTCTGCTTGGGGACAAGCCCTTGAGCAAAGAAGCGGCACGGGCCTTGGACAGGAGCCGTGGCGTGAGCAGTTCCGGCAGCTGCGCTATGAGGAGTCCCGGGGGCCCCGCGAGGCGCTGGGCCGGCTGCGCCAGCTCTGCCGGCTGTGGCTGCGGCCCGAGACGCACAGCAAGGAGCAGATGCTGGAGCTGCTGGTGCTGGAGCAGTTCCTGAGCATCCTGCCCGGGNTCTGTCGCCATCCGGGTGGGGCGCAGTCGGGCCCAGGACACTGGGCGCAGCAGCGCCGGGTTCTCCTGCAGCCGTGCCCCCAACGCCTCCTCGGCGTCCCACCCTGAACCTCAGGCGTCGAGCTGGTGATGACAAACGCCCAGAGACGCCGGTGGCGGCTCAGGAGACCTCGGTGGCAATGCCGCCTCCCGGGCTCTCTAGGACCCTCGTCTCGGTGGTTGTCCCCGAGTTAACCCATCAGTGACCGTGCCCCCACCGCCACTCCTGGGAGGCAGTCGGGGAAGAGAATGACAGGCTCTGTGTCATTAGAAATCCTCTGTGCGGTCCGGCTGTGGTCCCCAACGCCCTGAGGTAAGCTTGACGCAGACAGCTGGCATCAAATCCACAAACTCGGAAGAAAGTGGAGATTCCTCAGAGGCCTTAGAGCTCGGCCAGAAGCACCTTCCTTTTCTCTGGAAACATCCAAGGAGCCGGGAGTGCGCGGACAGCGGAGCGATTCGGGGTGCGCATCCCCCCCTCCCCCTTCATGTTCCCACGGCGCTCAGGCGGCGGAGCTCACTCCCTACGCCCAGGCGCAGCCACGCCCCTTTTCCCAGTCGGGACGAAAAGCCTCCAACAGCCTCCGCCGGCGCCTCACGGCCCACGCGGATGGAGCGTCGCTTGGCAACCGGCCGGAAGCGGAAGTTGTGCCGGCCACCGGATGCGGAAGTCGTGCCGGCCAGCGGCAAGCGCCTGCGTGAGCGGGAATCGTCCTCGCCCGCGTTCTCCGGGGTGACCGTCCCAAGTCGCCCGTGTGGTCACCCGCGAAAGCGCGGCTCATGGCGCCAGCGTCCCGGTCCCGGTCCCCCGAGGACACGCCGTGCTCTCGGAGGCGGCGACGCCCCTCGTCCAGGAGCGGCCGGTCCCGCTCTCACTCGCGCGGCCGCGAGGGCCCCGGGCGTCCGTGGGGCGGGGCGGGCGCCGGCGCTTCTTACCGACTCAGTCGCTCCGCGGAGCGGCCCGGGCCCCGCAGCTCCGCTCTCTTGTCTTCCACCCACCACGACCGTCACCAGCGGGGTGCGGGCGACCGGCGGCGGGCGGAGGAGGGCGAGAGGGCGCGGGAGGAGCGCCGTCGGCAGAGGCGGCTGAAGGAGCGAGCGAGGGTCGCGGAGACGGGCGCCCCCGAGGTGTGGGGGCTGTCGCCCACGTGTCCTGAGCCGGATCCTGACACCACCGTGGACGATGAAGAGGTAAAATCTCAGAAGGTCGGCAATTCAGATTCCAGCCCCGAAGGAAAAAAGAAAAAGGAAACCAGTCGTTCAAAGAACAAAAAAAAGAAAAAGTCCAAAAGAAAATACAGGAAGTATGCTGATAATAGCGGCGGGGATTCAGACGCTGACGCTAATTCTAGCTCTGATGATGAGGAAAAGAGAGCAAAAAAAGCCAAGAAGAAAGAGAAGAAAAAGAAACACAGAGAGAAAAAAAACAAGAAAAAGAATAAGACTAAAAAAGAACCCAGTGGCTCAAGCTGTAAGGATTCAGAAGGGGAGTCGTGGGAAGATCTCTGCATTGCGCGCTCGAAGGTCGCAGGCACCGTGGACCTAATCGGCCCAGAAGCACCCGTCATCCACACCTCTCAAGATGAGCAACCTTTGAACTATGGCCATGCTCTGCTCCCAGGTGAAGGCGCAGCTATGGCTGAGTATGTAAAAGCTGGAAAACGTATCCCACGAAGAGGTGAAATTGGGCTGACAAGTGAAGAGATCGCTTCGTTTGAATGCTCAGGTTATGTCATGAGCGGTAGCCGGCATCGCAGAATGGAGGCTGTGCGACTGCGTAAAGAGAACCAGATCTACAGTGCCGATGAGAAGAGAGCCCTTGCGTCCTTCAACCAAGAGGAGAGACGGAACAGAGAGAATAAGATTCTAGCCAGTTTCCGGGAAATGGTGTACAGAAAGAAAAAATGACAAATATGGACTTTTGTTCTACAGCAGGACTTGGACCAGCAACAACTGTATATGACCAAAATAGTATTAAAAGGCTTTATGGTGTTATTCTACCTACTATGTTAGTAAACCCTTAAGGAAAAAGCTGCTTTTTTTGAGGTGTCTTTAGCAATTCATTTTTTATTTCTAACAGAAAGTAACATGTGTAAATGGTTTGTTTGTTTTTTAAAGATTTTTATTGGGGAATTGGGGGGATGGGAACAGTGCTGGGAGATTGGGGAAGGGGAACAGACAAGTTGCTGTCGTTTTGTTCTTCAATCTAGTTGTGGAGGACGTTGCTTTACTTGCCCAAGTTGGCACCATCATTGCACTCTTCCCTGGAGAGGCATTTAGTCGCCGGCTTCTGGACGGCCGCTCACACTGGCTGCTGGCTACACACGGTAGCCCATGGCAATTCACTGCAGCAGGGGCTGCAGCCTACGCCATCGCCAGCAACTCACGGCAGCCCAGCTCCAGGTTGAGCTGTTGTTCAGCATCTTAGCTGTGGAGGGCAGTGTTCACTGGCCCTCATATGTGGGATCCAAACCGGGGCCCTCTGGCATCCCAAGCGAGTTCTTAACCATCGCGCCACTCGNGCGGTGGCCGCGTTGGAGAACATGGAGGCCGACACCGGGGACGCGGGACAGCAGGTGGGGCTGTGCTGTTTTGCAGAAAAGCAGGAAGTGAGCGGTGGCATGAGCCATAATGGGCCAGGAGTGGCTGAGCTCTGCTCCCATCTCCATCGGCTCTTTCTTGTGTGTATCTTCCCTTCCCTTCTCTCTGCCGCAGGGAGACTGCATGCTTCCCACGTCCCTCTGCCTTTGTCCCTCTGGGCTTCCCCTTCGCCCTTTTTTCTAACACTGAAGTGTTTGTCTCACCAGCAGTTCTCTCCTAAACCCACATGTACCTGATTGTCCCCAGGACCCGGACCGGTCTAAGGAGCAGGACACCGACCCTCTGCGAGCCACGCCCGTGCAGCAGGTCCCACCCCCATGTGAGGCTCCAGCGCCTGCAGAGGACAAGGGTAAGGACGCAGCTGCACCTTCCGGCCTACATGCTGCCCTGCTCGCTCCTGGCACTTTGCTCAGAGGCAGATTTAGTGAGGTGTCTTTACACGCTGTAATTTTCCTCTCTGTAAGTGTGTTTTCACAGACACGAGACAGTTACACTCGTGTGCTCACCACCACAATGAAGGCAGAAAAGATTTCTGTCACCCCAAACATTTCCCTTGGACCCTATCCTTGTTTGTTGGTTGTGCAGGCAAACCGGGGCCTTCTCCTGTGTGGCTCCTCACCCCGTTATGTAGGGTGAAGATAAAGAGTGCTAGTCCCTCACCCAAGGCAGAGAATTCCAGTACCTGCTTCATTGCTTATTTTGTCTTCTGCCTTCAAGTTATTGTACATGGCTGCTGTCCTTGACTTCCACATGCCACCTGGATTGTTGTTTTCTTTGACACTGCAATTTCTCTTTCTGATCTCTGTCCTTCTCATTCTTCTTTCTCTCTTTCCAGTCTGATAGAAGCCCTACTCTCTTTTTTTGTTTGTTTGTGTTAATGCATGTCATCTTGGTGCCTTCGTTGTGTTCATTTTCCATCATTAAAAAACAGACTCGTGAGTGTTGCTCCCTCCTTAAAACCCTGAGTAATGTTACTTTCAGCTGTTTTTTTTTGTTTGTTTTTTTTGATGTTTCAAACATTCTATAATAAAAAGTAAAATTAAGAAGAAAACACCACTTTCAGTGACTCTTAATAGCCATTAACAAAGGCCTCCCAGGTCATATTCTGTCATCTGCTGACCTTACAGCCTCATGTCCACTAACGTAACCAACTTGTTCTGGTTTGCTTGTGACCTTTAGCAGTAACAATTCCACGTCCTGGAAAACACCTATTGCCAGAGCAGTTGGGACAGTCAGTCACCCTTTTTACCACCTGCTCACATGTCCCCATCATACCCGCCCCCATCCCCGTCTCCCATCTGCTCCTGGCACTTCTCTCTCTGAGCCTCCCTGCCTTAGTTCTTCTGTCTGGAATTTTTCTTCCTCACCCTCCCTGACTGACTGTGATGGACCCTTGAGGACCCAGCTTAGTTGCCACCTTCTCTTACTCCCCTAAGTCCTCCAGGCCTGGGTCCGGCTCCCCACCTGTGTTCCTTACCACGTTGTATTACAGCTGCTGGTTAACGTCTCTGTGTCTCCTGACAGACAAAAGGGCAGGGCCTTTGTTTTGTTTCCAGAGTCTGTTAACAGCTCCTGGCCTGGAGTCATTCCCATAAATGCCTTCTTGTCAAATGGCTAATTTTGATCCTAAGGCCTTCCTTTAGGAACAATCTACTTCCCCATTCAATTTTGCAGTCAGCCTCAAAGGTCCCCTTCTTCTGGAAGGCTTAAGGTTTAATTTACCTTTCTACGATTACACAGCTCATCATTGATAAAACTGGCACCATTGATAAAACAAATTTCTTTGTTTTCAGTTAAAGTGCCTTTCTTATTGTCCCCAGGGCCCTCAATTGACCTAGCTTTTGTTTTTTTGTTTTTTTTAGAGGGCAGTGTCACTGGCCCTCATATATGGGATCCGAACCCCGGCCCTCTGGCATCCTAAGCCAGCTCCCAACCAACGCGCCACTCAGCCGGCCCCTGACCTAGCTTTTTAATGTTCCATGTGTGTGTGTGTGTGTGTGTGTGTGTGTGTGTGTGTGTGTGACATGATAAAATTCAAACCATGTAAAATAAGCCATCACCCACCACAATCCCCCACCCTTCCAAAGGTGGCCACTGCTAACAGTTTCTTGTGTGTCACCCCCTACGTGTTCTAATCAAACAGAAGCACCCGCAATATTTCCACTTTGTACATATGTCTCCATTTAAAATTTGTCCTCCTAACTGCAGATGTCTTTCCCCAAGCACCCACAACCATGTAATTGGTGGCATATGTTTACCGTTTCAGGTGAGGCAGCAAGGAGTGAGAGAGGGAGGCTGGTTGTAGAGACAGGCTGTTGTGGAGTGGAATCACCTGCAAAAATACCAGAGCCCACAGAGACTCGCTATGAAGACTCTGACTTGGAAAGGCAGCAGGCCAAGGCCACGGCCAAGGCGACAACTGACTGTAAGTGCTCAGCACATGGGGATGGAGTCATCCAGCACTCGGACCCAACTAAACACGACGATGCTCACATGGGAGGAAAGCTCTATGACTCTGAAGTGTGTCAGAGCACCAGTCGCACTGGACGTCAGAAAGTCCTCTCTAGAGAGAAAGGCCATCAGTGTCATGAGTGTGGGAAAGCCTTTCAGAGAAGTTCACACCTTGTCAGACACGAGAAGACCCATCGTGGTGAGAAGCCCTATCAGTGCAAGGAGTGCGCCAAAGTGTTCAGCCAGAACGCAGGCCTGTTGGAGCATCTCAGAATCCACACTGGGGAGAGGCCTTTTCTGTGCATCCACTGTGGGAAGAGCTTCAGGCGCAGCTCCCACCTTAACCGACACCAGCGGATTCACAGTCAGGAGGAGCCCCAGCAGTGCGAGGAGTGTGGAAAAACCTTCAGTCAGGCCCTGCTCCTCACCCACCATCAGAGGACCCACAGCCGCTCCCGAAGCCACCAGTGTGCTGAGTGTGGGAAAGCCTTCAGTTTGACCTCAGACCTGATTCGACACCACAGGATCCACACTGGAGAGAAACCCTTCAGGTGTCACGTGTGCCAGAAAGCCTTCCGACTAAACTCTCACCTTGCCCAGCACGTGCGGATCCACAATGAAGAAAAGCCCTATGAGTGCAGCGAGTGCGGAGAAGCCTTCAGGCAGAGGTCAGGCCTTTTTCAGCATCAGCGATACCGCCACAAAGACAAAGCGCTTGCTGAGACACCCTGTCCCTGTGGAACATCGCAGTCCGTTAAACAGCACACGACACTGCAGGAGAAGCCACGCTAGCCAACTCTGGCCTTAGAGGCTTCTTGGCCGGTGTGGAGGCCATCTGCCCGCCTCTCCACTTTGTTTTCCTTGAAGTCAGTTTGGGGTCACAATAATTTGACCCTAGGTAGTACTGTGGGCTCAGAGTGGAACAGCAGCCCTTACTGCAGGACTTCTCAGAGCCTTTAACACAGCGAAGGCATGATGCTGCACCTCCAAGTAGTAGACAGCCTCGTGACTGAGGGGGGGCTTTAAGGACAGCATTGAATTAAGGGTCCACAGATTTACAGGCTTAAGCCAAACAAGAGCAGGTAGATATTTTTTCAGATGCTGCAACAGACACCTATACAGTGAAACTAATAATGTTTGGAAATATGCCATACTCAAAGGTGTCTTACAGTGCAGGTTAATGGCGACCACTTCCCCAAACCGACCAGCAGAAGCCTTTGGGAAGGCAAAGATAATCTAATCTTACCATTTCCCACCCTCATCCCTGCCACAATACCTCATTGATTTAAGTTAGCAATACAGGTTTTATTTACACTAGAGAAGCGATTTCATTTGAATCAATCCAGGAAGCTGCTGTCTTATCTGACAACTCCAGAGCCAGTATGGTGACTGCTGCATAGGCACGAGTCAGTAAATGTCTGGAGGGAGGATTTGGACTTTTTTTCTTTAATACTGGTGATGCAGTTTTAAATGTTGCTTGTTCTGCAGTTCTTTGAAAGTCAGACAATAAAATCGGCTTGGAGGAGACGATCGTTGTATTATGAATACCAAATGTCATCGTAGTGATGAAGAATACGAGGCCAGGAGACTCCGCTTCCAAACCCGTCACCTGGGTGGTGAACATCCCTGATTGGTGGTAGCTGCTTAGCATTCTGCTGTCTGGAAAAGGCTTCTCAGTCAGCCATAGGAGTGGGGAGATAGTGAACCATCGTGGCTTGCTAAGGGTTTGGTTTGGCTACATGTGGTTTAAAAACAAAAAGAGCAGGAGTGACTTCATAAAAGTTTGTTTTTCTCTGAAATAGACAATGCCGGAGACGAGCTGTCCAGGACTGGTAAGGTGGTTCAGTGACATCAGTAGGGGCTCTGGCCTCTGCTCCTGCCATCCTAGTGCCCGCCTTTAGTCCTTAAGGTCATCACATGATCCTCGATGGCTGCACAAGCTCCAGCCATCACATGCCAAACGTGGACAAAAGGAAGCTCCTCCCAATTCTGCCAGCTCTCTGAGCAGCCTTCCCACAAACCGCTTCAGCACGATGTCAGAGGCCAACAGTTAGGAAAGGGAGGCTGGAAAGTGTATCTTACTCTGGGTTGCAGCGTGCCTGCTGAAAATTAGGCTTCTGTCACTAAGAGTAAAGGAGAGAATGAACGCCCGAGTAGACACCAGTTTTTTATCCACTTCCTATTCCTTCTCTCACACACACACACACACACACACACACACACACTCTGATCTGACAGTGCACGCCAACCAGAAGCCACAGTTAATACCATTTTCTGTAGGAAAAGCAGCTGTAACTTTTTGAGAAATAAAAGAATTTCATGGAATGTCAGTCATAGTCCACTGCTTAGGAAGCCATAAAGCTATGTATCTTCTGCCTTTATGAGTACAATTAAGTTGATATCAGGGATTTTCCTTAAAATGTTTTGAGGGCTTTGCTGAGTTCAGTATCTAAACATTTAGCTCCATGTCATAGTTTAAACCTATCTGTTTCTGTTCAGTTTAAGAAGGAAAGAACATAGAATATCTTTATTCTCATTAAAAAGTAATGACAAGATTCCAAGTATGAAGGTGTGTGTGTGTATACAGAACAAAATGCAAATGTTATCACAGATCTCAATAAAGGTTTTGCTTGCAATGTAAGACATCCTAGACACTCTGAAAGTTAAGTTAAAAGTCTATTCAGAGGGCAGGAGCACAGTGAGGATGAACTGTGTTGCAGCAATAACTTCTGGTCAGGCATTTCTGTTTGAGTAGTATCCTGAAACATCGAAGTACAGCGTGGAAGGGGAAGTCTGTCTCTATTTCCCACTTACTCTCCTGTTTAAAAAAACTGATAAACTTATTACTACATAACGCAATTATAAAAGTAGTGTGGAAAAACCACCCTAATTTCCACATGTCAGAAATAACCACTGGTTGTGTGTGTGTGTGTCTCTGCATGTATATATATAAACACTAAATTGTGATCATTTGGCATTGATAATTTTGTTTACTGCTCAATTTTAATGTTATTTCCATGTTATAATATCTTCATAAATTTTATTTTTTTTTAAGATTTTATCAGGGAATTGGGGTAGGGGAACAGAGAAGTTGCTGCCCTTTGTTCTTCAGTCTAGTTGTGGAGGACGTCGCTTCACTGGCCAATGTTGGTATTATTATTGCGCTCTTCCTGGGTGAGGTAGTTACTCGCCGGCCATTAGACGGTGGCTCACAGCAGCTCATGCTAACTGCCGGCCCCTCACGGTACCTAACGGCAGCCCACTGCAGCAGGGGCTGCAGCCTATGCTGTTGCCGGTGACTCACAGCAGCCCAGCTCCAGGTCGAGCTGTTGTTCACCATCTTAGCTGTAGAGGGCGCAGCGGCACTGGCCCTCATGTGGGATCCGAACCGGGGCTCTACTGCTCAGAGCTGGCGTCCCAAGCCAACTCTTAACCAATGTGCTACTTGGCCGGCCTGTATCTTCATAAATTCTTATTATCTCATGCTTTTGATAGAAATTCTTATACATTGTAAAATTTTTGAAAAATATAAAGAAAACAAATCATCCTCTCTCATATTCCAAATATAACCTCTTAATAATGTATTTTAAGAGACCTTTTGGGCATAGAAACACTTTACTTTTCTCCCTGGACTTTAATGTATAATGGTATAATGAACAGTTTTCACTTGTAACAGAAGGGACAATCAATTTACCTATCTGCCCACTCCATTCTTGCTCAGTCCTGCCGTAATCCTGAGTGAACAGCCTGCCAAGTGATCATTCTCTGACCACTGAGGATTGCACCAGGATGGGCCCCCTAAACCACGCTTAGTCATTTAGATACCCTGAGGAATTTGACATTGGATTACAGATTCTGGTTGGTTTCTTAGGCATTTGAACCAGAAGGTAATATAGAGCTGGAACCATTTTTTGTGGTCACACAAAAACCAAATAGAGGCAAATGAGCCCTGTGAGAAGCAAAAGAATAAAGCCAACCCCTAAAGCTGGGATCCCAATGAAGGCCCAGAGATTCAGAAGACGTAACTGGAGCCTTCAGATTCTGAGATCCCATCTACATGCTGGTGTTGGGAGTCCATGGAATAACCTTATTTCCCGCCAATAAAGGTACCCTTTAAATTAATTAGGGTGGGTTGCTGACATTGCTAACAAAAACAAAAGCAAACAAAAACCCCAGTGAAGACACCCAGATCACTACAAATCTTTGTGGAAGATAATTTTCAATATAAGTTACACAATATCCTATGGTATATGTATGTCCCCATTGTTGGTCATTTAGGTTATCTAGTTCTGTCACCATAAATGATATTTCAGTGAACATCCTTGTACATACAACTGAGCTCACTTACAGAATTATTTTCCTTCATTAATTCCCGTAACTGCAGTAAATGAGAAAGGGTAGGCATATTTTCTAAGGCTTTTACTGCATTTGCCACATTGCCCTCCTGAACGATTATACTAATCTGTAAATCCTGTTAGTCTGTGAAAATGCCCCTTTTTTTCACACCCACATCAACTCGGAATTATTCTTTTGAATATTTGACAATCTAGTGTGTACAAAACTGGTCTGCTTTTTATTTAAGATTTTATTGGGGAAGTGTGGAGAACTGGAGGTCTGCAGTAAGGGTTAAGCCTGGCAGCTGGCAAGCTGACAGGCTGTCAGGCCCGGGTGAGCAGCGTGGGAAGGTTGCTGGATAGATCTCATCTCCACTGTGCCGCTGAAGAATGAACAAGCCTACATCATAGACAACCTTAAAAGTTCCAGAGTAAACTGCCAGCCTGTTAGCAGTTTCTACTTGCTATACTTTGTCTCACTTCAGGGACATTTGCTTCCCCACTCCCTCAAGCTCCCAAAACTCCTTACCTAAGGAAAACTACTTTTGCTATAAAAACTGTGCAAGCAATAAACGGTGCCACTTTTCACCATCAGCGGACAGTGGACCTCCTGAGCCCAGCTTTCGTCTCTGTGTCTTTCTTTTCTAATCTCATCCAGTCCACTCAGGTTAGCCCTCTAGGTGCCTGGCTGATGAACCAGGTGGCCACGGCAGACGAGCGGGCCTCGTCAGGGAAGGGGAACAGCCAAGTTGTTGTCCTTCAATCTCAGTTGTGGAGGGTGCAGCTAGCTCAGCTCCAAGTCCAGTCACCATCCGGTCGGCTGTCGGCAGCTCACGGCCACTCAGCTCAAGGTGCCCTGTTCAATCTTAGTTGCGGTTGGGCACCCACCATCTCCTGTGGGAGTCAAACCGGAAACCTTGTTAAGAGCTTGTGCTCTCACCAGCTGAGCCATCCTGCCACCTGGTGGCAGCTCAGCTCAGGCGCAGCTCACTGGCCCATGTAGGAATTGAACCAGCAACCCTGTTGCTCAGAGCTTGCACTCTTAACCAACTAAGCCACTCAGTTGGCCCACCTGGCCTGCTTTTTAAAGAGTTTTTGAAGAACACTTTTACTATTAAAATTGAACATCTTTTCCCATGTTAACTGGTCATTTATAATTGTAATTTTCTGAACAGCCATGTTCATCTTTGCTGAATTTTTCTATTAGATTCTCTTTTTACTTTTAAATAGCAGTGCCCTTAAACATTAAATAGGGGAGCTGTATATAAAAATTTTAAATGTACATGCCCTTTTCCATCAATTCCATTGTGTAATTTTCACCCTAGAATTATTGGGTTGTTGGAAAAGTCATGACGTATTTTTTTCTGTTTTCCATTGCAAAAATGCATCATGACTTCCAACAACCCAATATAAGAGAATGTAAAGCTGTTCAGTGGTGTTCTCTGTAGCATTACTTATAAGGAAAAATGGAACCTAAGTATACAGCAATAGGGATCGTTAAATTATGGTACACAAATACAATAGAATACTATTTAGTTAGTTATTAAAAAAATAAGTTGGTATGGCAAGATCTCCAAGTTATCAACTGAAAAAGCTAACGTGCAAAATTATATTATGATCCCATTTGTGTTTTAAAATATATAGGCATATACTCACACACACACACACAAAAAGTTTATTGAATGCTGCTATGTGGCTGGGAGGTCCAGTCCAGGGAAGCTCTACACAAAACATTAACAAAGGGGACCTCTGGGGAGTGGGACACTTTATTTGGTAGCTTGCGCAACTTGAGGTTATGTGTAATCTGTATGTTTAAAAAAACTAACTTGTGCTACTTGCTGTATTGTAATCGTTTATTCATCTGTCTCCCCTTCCCCTCGCCCCCAGCAGCCTGTGAGGTCCCTTAGAGACAGACTCAAGTTTGTCCTCACCACCCGTTGGGTTTCAACTGCAGTGCTTTGCCTCCATGAATGCTGCGCTGGGGTCGTCGGCGAGGCCGGGACGGGGCTGCGGGAGCCCGTCAGGCGCATCAGAGAGACGCGCTTACGCGTCCTAGAAAGGCCGGACCCCGCCTGCGCGGCGCGTGCGGCGGAACGAGCGACCCGGCCCCGCCCACTCGGCCCGCCGGCCCCGCCCACCCGGCCCCGCCCACGCCGCCAGCGGCTTTGTCGTGCGCGGTCGCTCCGTTTTCGGCCCGCAGACCGGCCAGAGACGCGCGTTTATCGGGTGCGCGCTGTGCCCAGGGCCGGGTGCCGGGGAGCGGCCTCCGGAAGGGACGTCCCGGGCCCGCAGCGCCTGGCTCGGCCCACGTGACTCAGCGAAGCCCTCCAGGTGCTGGCTGGGCGCCAGGTGGGCGCCGGCGCGTCCTCGCGAAGCCGGCGGCGGCGGCGCCTTGGGGTGGGACGAGCCCGCGGCGGGCAGCGAACGCGGCTGGTTCGGGGTCGCTGTCCCTGTCCCAGGGGGACACCCCGCCCCCCGGTGTGGCTTAGCGGACAGAGAGCGTTGTGTCTGCACGTGGGGTTTGGAATGGCCTGTGCCCTGTGGGAAGGGCCGGCCTGGCCTGAAGGACAGAAGCTTGAGTCGTCGGCACGGCGGTGACTGGAGGCACTGGGCAAGACCTTGCTTTCGTGAAGGTGGGGACTGTCTTGCATTTCAGGGTGAGTGTTATGCCTGGAAAATCATGATTGTGGCGTGCCCAGGAGATGTTTTTTGAGTGACAAACGAACCGGGTCCCGGGGAGTTTGAATTTAGGTCGAGGAGGAGCGATTGAAGGGGAGGTGTGTCGACTGTGGTCCAAATCTTGCTGTAGGAAACGTGAATCCACCGGTGATCGAGTGGAAGGTGGGAAGGAATGCCACAAAGAAAACTATGTAATAGTCAGTGTAAATGTCGAAAAGGGAACGAAAGGAAGGAATGACTGCCCCAGGCGTCCTGGGAAAAGACTGACTGGGTTGGAGGGATGGTGTATAGGGGCTGGTTTTAAGCCCGAATGTATGGAAGATAGCGGACGTGCCAGTAGAAACGGAGAAATGCAGTGAGTGCAGCTTTGAGGTGACTCGGTGCACTTTGGGATGCATGGACATTATGGTGCAGGGGAGGACCGAGGCAGAAGGCGTCCTGCAGGCATTTCCAGATGTGCGTCTGGAATGTGAAAGGCAAGTTTGAGCCAGAGATTTGAGTGTTCTTGGAATAGAGATAGTGTAATTGTGATTAATGAGATCACAAAAGGAGAAAGTGATGAGAGATAAGGACTTGACGCGTGTCTGCTATTGTTACATTTTAAAAATAAATACAAATCCCAGACAGTGAAACCACCTGTTTATTATTTATGATTTTGTGGGTTGACTGGGCAGTTCTGCTGCTGGTCTTGCTTGGAGTTACTCATAGGCCGCTTCACCTGGTGAATGCGCTGAGGACTAGGCCTAGCTGGGGTTTCCCAGCCACATGACCTCTCTGATGGCAGTCCCATGGTAGGGCGCCAAGGGCCCGAGAGCGCACCCTCTTACAGTGTCATTTCTGCCATATTGCGTCGGTCAGAGCAGTGGTAGGCCAGTGCAAATAACTCCACCTCCTGATGAGAAGGATGGCAGAAGCTTATCACAAGAGGCAACTGGGGATGGGAGACTTTGGAAACAGTCTCCCTCACCTACGTTTAAGGTGGAATTTTTTCGTGAGACAGACATAGAGATCGATGACCTTTGAGAGAATGTTAGTCGGTCCATGAAAGCAGCCATCTGGCTCCTCCTTGTCCTCAGCTGGAGCATAAGCTGCTGAAGCATCAACCTTGTTGTTAGTCCTTCTTCCTTCATTCCCTCACTTTACACCCCTTACTCTGGGCTCATCCCTTTGGATTTCCAGGTATACTTGTGGTTAACTTAACTGATATCTAGGCAAGCATGACTTCCTTTGGGGACAGAAATATAAGTATGTCACATAGAGTTTTGAAGCTCTTGTAATTTTTGTGTTACTGATCAATTTTTATGCCTCATGTACATTTGGAAAAACTTTTCTGAAGCATAGATCCCAATAAAAATGAACCTTTTTCTAGCTTTTTTTTTTTTTTAGTATTATACACTGTATTCTTAAGTAAAGTAAGCTAGAGAAAAGAACATGTTAAGAAAATGATAAGGAAGAGAAAATACAGTATTTATTGAACAAATGTGCATGTAAGTGAACCAGCACAGTTCAAACCCATGTTTGTTGCTCAAGGGTCTACTGTCCCAACACTGTCCTGGAAATCCATGGATGAAGCTTTGCCAGGCCCGGCTCCTGAAGATGGAGGCAGCCTTGTGAAGGTGAAGGAGGAGGATGCCACGTGGGAGCAGCTGGGCAGCTCGCACACTCAGGAGCTCTGCTGCCTGTGCTTCTGGCAGTTCAGCTACCAGGAGGTGGCTGGGCCTCGCGGGGCACTGGCCCAGCTTCGAGAACTTTGCTCTCAGTGGCTGCGGCCCAAGACGCACAGCAAGGAGCAGATGCTGGAGCTGCTGGTGCTGGAGCAGTTCCTGAGCATCCTGCCCGGGGAGCTCCAGGCCCGCGTGCGCGCGCAGCACCCGGAGAGCGGGGACGCGGCGGTGGCTGCGCTGGAGAACATGGAGGCCGACACGGGGGACACGGGACAGCAGGTGGGAGGAGGATGTGTATGTGGGCGGAGACATGGGGAACGTTTGTGTGTTGAGATAATTTATAGCTTAGAGAAGTATAGGGAGGGTTCTCTGCACCCAGTCACTGGTTGGCAACATTTGCATCACAACATGCCCCTACAATGCGCGTGAACGCTGCTCCCTTCTCCGTGTTGCATGCGTCTGTGTGCGCGCACACTCACACTCCTGCACCATTTCAAAGTCGCTGCAGATATCGTGCCCCTGGCCCTCTGAACACTCAGTTTGTATTTCCGAAGAACAAAGACATTGCCTTGTGTAACCAGAACACAGTGATTAAACTTAGGGAAATTAAAATTGCTATGATACCATTATCCAAAAAGTAACCCTTGTTCAGTTTTTGCCATATTATCCCAATAGTGTTCTTTATGGCAATTGGTCCCCAGTTCAGGATCCAGCATCACATGTTGCATTTAGTCGCTGCGTCTCCTTCATCTCCTCACGTGGGGAAAAGTTGCTCAGTCTTCGCTTGCCTGCCATGACGTTGGCATTTGTGGAGAGTACAGGCCTGGGGGTTTGTGTGGCACCATGGCGTGGTAAGATCCAGGTCGTGTGTTCTGCCTGGTGTTTCACAGGAATGACGCTGTGTCCCCTGTGCCTTCTGTCAGACAGCTCGTGCCGATGGCTGCCCATGACTGAGGAGGGGAAGGGAGGGGCCGTCTGGCAGGCTCCTCACCTTACAGTTACCATTTGCCCTTTGTGACTGATCAGTAAGTCATCATGGGCGACGCTGAGATGGTGCATGTCCTGTTCCTCACGAAACTGCACCACACCCCGGGCGTTTTCTGGGCGGAGGTTCTTAGCTTGTCTCGTCACTCATACTTGCCGCTGTACCCTCAGCATTGGGTCAGAGCTTGGCTCCTGGGAGGCCTGCGTCCGGCCTGCCGAGGGAATGCTTGTCCTGCTTGCTGCTGCTCTGCCGGATTGAATGGGGCTTGTCTCGTGTTCCCGTCAGATGGCCCTAACTGCCGTTTGCTCCAGTTCCCACCAGGGCACCTTTTCAAGGGGAGTCTTTTGTCCCCAGACCTCCATCTACACTCAGGGACAGGACATACACCTACTGGTGACAGAACATCAAGGAGCCTCTTTGGAGTGTCAGGGCCTGCGGCTCCTGCCTGGGGTGACCACGCTGAAGTGTGAGCCTCCTGAGTGCCATCAAGAGGACCTCCACAAAGTGAGAGGTGAGCTTACTGAGGGTCCTGGGTGCACGGTCTTCTTCGTGACAGCTTGTTCATCTGTCTCCTCAAGGTTGGTGGTTTTGTCTAACCCTGTACCTAAGCAAGCTTTTTAAAACATCAGAAATTATAAAACGCTAGAATTCTAAGATCTTCTTGTCCAACACCCTCAGTTAATGATCAAGAAAACTGAAACTCATAGGTTAAATGATTTGCCAGAGTTGGCAGAGGGAGATCAGTTTCTGGAATAGAAGTCACTGGGCCTTCTGACCAAACTTCTCTCTACATCACATGTCTCTAGTCCGCGTTTCTAATTCTACGTTGTGGGTGTTTTAAATACTTACTTGGTAACCTTCCGCAAATTTATCTTTTCCCCCATGGTGATATTTTCTTCGGTATCCTCCTGCCCCTAACCTGTCAGTCATTTTAAATACAGCTTTAGGCTTAAATAGGCTCTTTCCCTCCATTCAAGTGCACCCTCCTGTGTGCGGGGCTCCCCTCCAGGGAGACCATCCAACTGTGGGTTACAGCTCAGCTTCGTGCAGGCCTCTCGCAGGAGGGTGAGCCATGCAAGCAGTGCAAAGCCTGCGGTCCACAGCCTGCAGGTGGGTCGAGGAGAACAGACAGAAGCACCCGGAATGCTCAGCGAAGAGACCGTAGAACTCCACAGGGCAGGGGACGGATCTCCATGCTTCTCCCAGAATTAGCTGAAAAGTGTTAACTCTCTTCCCTGGAAAAATGCATGTACTGTACTTCTCCCTTATCTGAGGTTTCAGTTATGCATTGTCAGTTGCATCCAAAAATACTAAATGGAGAATTCCAGAAAGAAACAATTTATAAATTTTAAATTGCACACCGTTCTGACTGGCATGATGTAATCTCGTGCCTTCCTGCTCCCACTTGCCCCATCATGAGTCCTCCCTTCGTCCAGCATGTCCACGCTGTAGACACTCCCCGACGTTAGTCACTCCGCAGTCCTGTGTTATCAGATCGACTGTCGCATCCCCAGTGCTTGTGGTCAGGTCACCCTGGTTTTACTTAATAATGGCCCCGAAGCCAAGGGCAGCGATGCTGGCCATTCAGAGAGCCAAAGAGAAGCCGGAAAGTGCTTCCTTAAGTGACAGGGTGTGTGTGTAGGAAAACATAATATGTATGGGGCTCGGTACTCTCCGGGATTCCGACACCCACTGAGGTTCTTGGAATATGTCCCCCGCGGATAAGGGTGGGGGGGCACTGTACACATTATGCACATGATTTCAGAGGGTTCCTGATGTATCACGGTCATTGTTTACCAATCTGCACATTGGTGATCTGTAAATATTGATATTTTAACAGTAATTGGAGAATAAATGGTCCATATAATAAATGATTTGAGGACATTAGAGGGAGATTAATGTATAGGTCCCAGGTTTCTTGTGTTATTTACCCATTGTTGATAAACCTTGTCACGTCCAACGTGGCAAGGGCAAACGGGTTTCTCTTGAGGGGCGGCGTAGATTGAATAAAGAGTCAGAGACAAAAGTAGGGTTAAGAGCGAGACCAAGGGACTCAGTCAGAGAAACTGAGCGAGCCCAAGGGACTCATTCAGAGAATCTGAGCGAGCCTGGAATCGAATCGGGTCAGCGCATGGCTTTTATTGAAAAGAAGTGAAACTGTTTTACTGCTGTCAATCAAATTAGCATCCGATTGGGGTCTGGGCCTCAAAGCCTTTTTCCTTTAACATATCCCATTATGTTCCAGCAAATGCTATGCCTTCACATATCCGCAGCCTAGCCCCTAGGACACCTGATTGCTGTGTCCTCCCAAGAGGAGATTAACTGTTTGCATTTCAACAGGTCCCAGTCACACCTTGAGACCTTGAGACACTCCTCAGAGGGAGCCTTATCGGCCTCCTCGGTCATACCAGGCACCCCCTCAGAGAGAATGCAGCCTTCCGGTCATACCGGGGCTTTTCTCTCTTACTAATGGGAAAAGAGGCTAAATGCGGGGGGGGGGGCATGTTAATAGAAATCGGCTTCAGGCAACAAAACCTGATATTTTCCTACTTTCCTGGCTGGTGATTTGATCCTATTTCTTCTGTTATGAGAAACCACCACTACAGGAAGCCCAAAACGTTGTGTTTATGTGCAGGACTTTAGAGGTGGCAGGGAGCCCCTCGGTCCTGGAGGTGGGGCAGTTTTCCTGGGCATGAGCCTGTGTTGAGCCGTGAAAGATGAGAGGATTTGCAGTGGACCAGAACATGGCAAGCATCCCCACTTACCTATGAAGTGATGAATGCGCATCTGCTCAGATTGATTTCATTTCATTTTGATGGAGAGGGAGAGGGGTAGTGAAGGACGGAGGTGAGGTGTCAGAGTGGTGAGAGATAACTGTGGTCAGAGCACATAAGGTTCTGTCTGTAATGTGAGTAAAGGCTCGGAGACTGCACCGGGGGTCTAGGGGAGCTGGGCTGCAGCAGGAGTCTGGGCAGGCAGCCCCTCGGCCCCTGGTTAGAGCCTGGCACATGGTCCAGGTTACCGAGCCAGGCGAGCTAGAGGTAGTTAGTTCCCCAGGCTGCCTGCACCTGTTGTGCTGGTATTTTCTAGCTTGTGGCTGGTCTGTCTTCCCATATGTGTGTGTGTGAACCTCTCAGTGGTTCAGAGCGCTAGTGAGAGGAAGGTACAGAGATTGCCCAGGACTCCCTGCCCCACATGTGCACAGGCCCTCCCCCCCCCACCCCACTCCCATTATCAGCTCGCTCTCTTTTGTTTTTGGTTTTTTTTGGTCTTTATTTCCGCTCTTTTCTGCTTTCCAGTTTCCCCTATGCCATAGCTCTCTATTCTCTACTTGTTTTCTTTCATTTCTGTGTTCTTTGCTAAAGGTTTCCTCTGTCACCAGCTTCTTCCCTCCCTCTCTTTATTTTCAGCTGTGATTTTAAATTTGGCTTCATGTATGTGAAAGTGCTCGTGTAAAGCATTCATGAGTTCATACCATTTGATGGATGGGAGCGCCTACAGTTTTAGAACTGTAAAATTCCTGACAGAATGAAAAGAGATGTGCTGCTCCATCCTAGACAGTGAGATCTGTATCGAACAGATGATTTGTGTGTCTGGGTGCCTCACATGGGGCATTCCTAAACACTGTGTCTCACTCCGGATTCCTGTCTCCCCCTCCACAGCGCCTGCTCCCCGGGGACTAACCCTTCTCCAGGAAAGAAACCCCACAGACGAGGCAACAGTACCTGAGTTTACATCAGCCAGGTCCCAGGTGAGCAGGGTGCCCTTGTCCTGGGACCTGCAGTGGCAGCCCCTTTGCCCGAGAACCTGATCCTGCGCTTCCCTTGCTCACATGCTTCACCCCTGAGAACCTTCCCCTCGTCACAGAAGATCACAGACCACTGTGCCGCCTCCAGGGAGCTCTATGGTTCCAGGCTGTCGCCCCACTTGGTACCGTGTGTAGGAGGCACACCTGAGTCTCAAGGGATGGAAGCAATGGGGGCAGTTAGGCCGTTGTTTTCATTTGATGCTTGGTGCCTGATGTTTTATCCTGTGGGGGCCCCTGGTTTCTCTGGCCAGCCTGACAACTGAGATTCCTCCTCACACTACTTTATATTCCCAGAGTTGTGCACATGCACAGTTTGTATTTGGTGGTGATCATGGGAATTCTGTGTATGCGAGGCAAAACCTCACATCATCTTCATAAAATGGACTCGTGTTTCTGTCCTCATTCTCTCAGTGGTTCCATAAATTTCCTAGTCATTTAGTTAAACAATACAGGTTTTGGGCCTGCCAAGTGGCGTGTTGGTTAAGAGTTGGCTTGGGACGCCAGCTCTGAGCAGCAGGGCCCGTTTGGATCCCACATGAGGGCCAGTGATGCTGCGCCCTCTACAGCTAAGATGGTGAACAACAGCTTGACCTGGAGCTGGGCTGCCGCCGTGAGTTGCCGGCGACAGCGTAGGCTGCAGCAAAGCTTCAGTGGGCTGCCACAGCTACTGTGAGTGGCCGGCAGCTGGCGTGAGCTGCCAAGAGCCGCCGTGAGCTGCCGTCCAGTGACCAGCGACCAACTGCCTCACCTTGGAAGAGCGCAATGATAATACCAACATAGGCCAGTGAAGCAACGTCCTCCACAGCTAGACTGAAGAACAAAAGGACAGCAGCTTGTCTGTTCCCCTTCCCCAATTTCCCATCGCTGTTCCCCTCCCTCAATTCCCCAATAAAATCTTAAAAAAAAAGAGAGAGAGAGAGAAAGATACTGCATCACATCAACATATTTTCATTTTACTCTGACTCTTAACTTTGTGATAACAGGTTTTGCACTCCAAATTCACCCTTTTGCAAATCAAATTCATCCTTTTGTAAATCAAATTCACCTTTTTGCAAATCAAATTCATCCTTTTATAGATCACATTTTTCTACAAAAATGTTTTCTTTGTAATAAAAATAAATCCAATGTTAAGTTATTATTAAAATTAAACATTTTGCATGTATTTAATAATAATAAACATAAACTACTTAACATCAGAAATTCTTATTTACTTATAGCTTCATTTATAACAGTTCTGCTCGTGGTAATTTCATATACATATTCATGAACTAATTATGACAATCTGTAGGAGTAATAGTTGCAATGGAATGATTAATAACATCTAAATGTTTGTGGTTTGATAAATCAGCCAAAATATTTCTTGTGCAGAACTTAGTTTTTGAAAAACTTCAATGGGATTCATCAGTGAGAGTATGGTGGTAGAAATAATAAAGTGTGTCTTGGCTGACACAACAAGATTACGTACTTCCTGGGTTTTGTGGAGGCTTACACAAACCACACTCCCTCCAGATTATCTTCATCCAATTTCTGCAATAATCTCTGAAGAAATTTCACAAAAAATATTTGAAGTAACCGTAGAATGTGCAGTTACTTCATGCCACACCATTCCCTGAATGTTTATTGCTTCAATTAGAGGAACATTTTGTCCTCTAACCATTGGCATGGTCACATGAGTTGGTGTATTAACTTTCAATTGTGCCTTCGTTTTTCAAAAACTAAGTTCTGTGCAAGAAATATTTTGGCTGATTTATCAAACCATGAACATTTAGTAGATGTTATTAATCATTCCATTGCAACTATTACTCCTACAGATTGTCATAATTATTTTATGAATATGTATATAAAATTACCACAAGCAGCAGCAGAAGCATTGTAAATGAAGCTATATGTAAATAAGTATTTCTGATGTTAAAAAAGTAGTTTATGTTTACTATCAAATACATGCAATAAAATGTTTAACTTTAGCAATAACTTAACATTGGATTTATGTTTACAAATGTTAAGAATACATTTTTGTGGAAAAATTTGATCTGCAAAAGGATGAGTTAGATTTGCAAAAGAGTGAAATTGGGAGTGCAAAACCTGTAATGTTAGTAAGCATTTTACATATTTTGACTCCATTAAGACGTTTTCATATAAATCCAGAATATTTTTTCAGACCCTGAAAATGGATACAACATCACCTAAAAGCTTCGGAAGTCCACTGCCGACACGTTTGCACTGGCGAATGCAAATCACATTGTCAGAATCATCGAGATCCAGATCAAGACATCCCATTGTTCGACATAATAATCCACCTACCGTATTTGCCGGTGTATAAGACGACTGGGTGTATAAGACGACCCCCTAACATTTTCACTCAAAATACAGAGTTTGTTATATACTCGCCGTATAAGACTACCCCCTCTTCCGCACACCTTCCACACACCAAATAAAAGGTAAAACAATATCAGATTTGATTTGGCCCACTGAAGTGCAAACAAGCGTATTATATTTCGTGTCACCACATAACCGTTTTGGCGATGTTGAGCCACCATGTCTGCTACATGTTTTTCGAGTTCTGGCCAGTGTGGGGTGCCTCTTCTTAATGCACACTTACCCCTTGGCATACTCTTTAATGCTTTCTCATTTGATTTCCAGTCCCGAACCATCTTTTCTGTTACTCCATATTGTCTTGCAGCAGCACAATTATTATTTTCCTTAGCAAAGTTTATAACTTTCAGTTTAAAATTTGCATCATACTTCTTTCTTTTGGCTGGTGCCATGATAGGGATGATAGGGGTTTGACTGGTCGACATTTTCTATGCTGTACTGTACAATGGTGCAGTATTGTGGTTGGCTGTTGGCTGTATACAAAGCCTGATTTGATTGGTCCCTGCTCCCTGTTTGCCCGCCCTGTCACTATAGCAGTCTGGTCCACCCTTGCATCAGCATCTCCCTGGGACCTCACTAGTGCGCAACTGCGAGCTCTTCAACATTCTAACAGGCACCATGATAGCGCAAAATCGCGAATCTTCAATGCATATGTAAAGAAATATACGGTAACCCGAATTTACCACACTCGCAAAATCGCATAACAGCCGAGCATACACCCAGCAGCGCTGCTGATGCCTGAACGGTATGTGGAATGAAGTGGGCGGGCATCGGGAGGCCACTATGGCACGGGGCAAGCACTATGGGCAGTCTATCTGAAGTGTACCTGGCGTATAAGACGACCCCCCACTTGGAGGCATATTTTTCAGGGCCAAAAAATCGTCTTATACGCCGGCAAATACGGTATATACAATCATATCAATCATGATAAAAAAACATTTTAATAAAATGTTATAAAGATGGTAAAACGGTGAATGAATCAGCTCAAATCTCTGGGATTAATAAAAATATGGCAAAGGCTATTAATCAGTATAACAAAAGTGATGGTGTATTGATAGAAAAAAAACGCGGTGGTAAGAGGAATATGAAATTAAATACATCACTATTAAACAAAATTGACCAAATAATTGAGGAAAATCCATGCATAACTTTAAAGGGAATTCTTCACAAGATCGTGGAATCCAAACGTGGAAATAAGCATAAGTTCCATTAGGAATGGACTGAAGCAATTACGGATCACATTAAAGTGTGCATCACTACAAGTTGATCATCGAAACTCAGAACAATTAAGATGCGCAAAGTGTACGCATTGAATGTTTTTCAAAACGCCTCCGAAGCAAGACAAAAATAATATGGATTGATGAATCAGGATTTAATTGCCATCTTTGGCGAAAGAAGGCACTATTGAAAGTTTAATACACCAGCTCATGTGACCGCGCCAACAGTTAGAGGACAAAATGTTCCTCTAATTGCAGCAATGAACACTCAGGGAGTGGTGTGGCATGAAGTAATTGCACATTCTATGGTTACTTCAAATATTTTTGGCGAAATTTCTTCAGACATAATTGCAGAAATTAGATGAAGATAATCTGGAGGGAGTGTGGTTTGCTTTGGACAATGTAAACCTCAACGTACAAAACCCAGGAAGTACGTGATCTTGTTGGTCAGCCAAGAAACACTTTAATTTCTACCACCATACTCTCCACTGATGAACCCCATTGAAGAAGTTTTTTCAAAAACTAAGTTCTACGCAAGAAATATTTTGGCTGATCCATCAAACCATGAACATTTAGTAGATGTTACTAATCATTCCATTGCAACTATTATATTACTCCTATAGATTGTCATAATTATTTCATGACTGTGTATTACCATGAGCAGCAGTAGGAGAGCCGTTATAAATGAAGCTATAAGTAAATAAGTATTTCTGATGTTAAATAAGTAGTTTATGTGAATTATTAAATACATGCAATAAAATGTTTAATTTTAACAGTAACTTAACATTGGATTATTTTTCAAGTTTTTAAATTTTTATAAAATACTGTTTTTTAAAAAGCTGATAAAATTATTGTAAGCATAGAAAACATTATTAAAACTCCTCTTCAGGCAGCAGCATTTTTGGAGATCAATGACTATCTCAAGGCACAATCCAAATTTACAAAGCTGTAGAATTACTCAATAAATTATCTAAATCACAGATGAACTGGTTGATGATAAAGATCCTCAGTTATTTAGAGAAAAATTTAACACACACCCCCCCAAAAAAAATCTTTTAAAAACCTCTGACTCTGTTCTCTTTTAAGGTGGGTGAGTTTGAACAGTTTCCTGGGGCAGAACTGAAAGGCCCCTTTCTATTTACTGGACCAGAAGTTCCAGATCTCAGCCCCTCAGAAAGACAGGCTCCAGCTTGCTGTCATTTTCATCTTTTTTCTTTCTGTGTTCTGTAACCCCTCAGGCTTATGCTTAATGCCCTTCTGATTCTGATCGTCCCGTGTATTAACCGAGAGGATTGAAAAGAAGGCAAGCAGTCCCTTGGCATGGAGACATTTAAGTGACAGTGCTACTCAATGGGCAGTGATGCAGGATGAGTTGGCAAAGCAAACTTCTTCACACTGGAGGCATTCACATCATGCCATCTCTTCGTATACAAGCCATTGCCTATCCAGCGAGGAAGAACACAGACTATTCCAGAGCAGCCAAATCTTCCCGCAAAGGTGTTTTCTGAGACGCTGTAGTAGTATTAGGCATGTGAGCACAAGCTGTGCAAAGGGTTTGCCATTTCCTAAATGAGAGTGTTTGGCTGCTTGGCTTCCACACCCACCCTTTCTCTCAATCTCTCTCCAAAGTACCCGCCTTTCTTTTGCAGAAAAGATGAGAAATCTCTGCTACCACTGGCCACCACTGCCCACACCCCGTTCTTATATAGAAGAGCACAGAAATGTCCTGCACCCTCCATGCTATGAAATGTTTCCTCAGGCCGGAGAAACAGCAGCACTAGAAACTATATAACTCTCGAATTTGGCTTTCCTTGAAGATGTTGAGACTGGAGAGTTGGGGGTTGCTGGTCTGTGCACTGAACATGCACAGAAAGGTGCCAGGCCTCCTCGCTGTGCCCGCGCCCTCCCCTCCCCCAACTCCCATCCTGAGACACTGGCTGGCAAGGGGGTCGTCTCAGGAATTAGGGGACAAATTCCCTCTTTCCAAACGGAGCGAAAGGACGGAATACGAGGGCACTAAAAATTAGGAGATGAGTCAGTTGGCTGCAAGGGGAGGAGGCCAGTTGGGGCTGCCCTGGGGGCTGGGTTGGCTCAGGAGAGGAGGTGCCTGAGGAGCCGGAGCCTTAACACACCCACCAAGCCAGAGGGTGAGCTCCCTCAAGGAGTGGTAGGCGCAGGCAGCTCGGCCCCAGCTAACAGGTGCCGGGAAGAGAGGAGAGCATCGCAACATCCCTGCGCTCGGACCACCCCACGTCTCCCTCCAGATTGGATTTATTTTTATTACAAAGATTAAGAAAACATGAGAACAAATAGGCAAATGATTGACCCAGCGTGTCAAACTTAACCCGACCAAAGCCATGTACTGATCACCTCTCTCCAAGCTCTCTTCACCCAGTAATCTTCCAAATTTCGGTTGATGGTGATTTCACCTTGCAATTACTCAGTCTAACCTCGTAATTGTCTTTGAATTTTTTTCTTTCACAACCCATATCCAGTTTGTCAGAAAATCACACAGGCTTTACCCTCAGAATATATCTGGGCCTCTTGCCACTTTCGTTACTACCACCCTGATCTTAGATATCATCTCTCTCCCCACTGAGTACCACCATAGCCTCCTTAACTGGTCTCCCTACTTATGTCCTTGCTGTCCTACAGGATATTCTCAACTCTGCAGCCAGAGTAGTCACTTAAGTTAGACTATCAATCTCTTTCTTAAAAACCCTGCAAAGTCTTCCTATTTCACTTCTATGCTAACGTCCTTGCAATGACCCACAGGATTTTGCAGGATCTGACCCCTGTTGTCTCCCTAACCTTATCCCTTATATGCTCCCTCTTGCTCACTCTATCACAGGCACTAAAATGGGAAAACTGGTTTCCTTCCTATGTAGGGAAAAACCCAGTTCTTCCCCACTATGTTTTTCCCTGTTCATCTCCTTTGCTTTTAAATAGAACACTTCACTTCTGACACTTCTGGTCACCAAATGTGTGGAGATATTCCCCCCACATAACAAACAATTCTCTGTGACACCACTTGAGTGTCCTAGAATTTAACTCAATTCTAACACGATGTACCTGGAAATAGTGTCAGATCCCACAGGTTAAGAAGTAGGTCCTGGGCCGGTGGAATGGATCAGTTGGTTAAGACTGCGAGCTCTGAGCAACAGTGTCGCTGGTTCGATTCCCACATGGGCCAGTGAGCTGAGCTGCTGCTGGGCTGCCAACAGGTGGCAGGATGGCTTGGTGGTTAGAGCACGGGCTGTTAGCAACAAGGTTTCCAGTTGGACTCCCACATGGGATGGTGGCTACGCCCACCTGCAACTAAGATTGAACATGGCACCTTGAGCTGAATGGCCGTGAACTGCCACCGGGCAGCCGGATGGTGACTGGACTTGGAGCTGAACTAGGTGTGCCCTCCACAGCTAAGATGGAAGGACAACAACTTAACTGTTGTTGTGCTGAACAATTCCCCAACACTGTTCCCCTTTCCCAATTCCCCAATAAAATCTTAAAAAAAAAAATCTGCAACCTTGCTTAACTGTCTTATAGAGCATCATAATTTGAGTGTTAGATTATCTTGGATTTTCTATGTAAACAATTCAGCCTGCTCCTTAAAACAGTTATGTATTTGTAATTGCTTAAAGTAGGTAATTCAATCAGCTCTAATTTTTAAAAATGTGTTAAAAACATGTACAGTAACACTCTTCTTGTCATCCTGGTCCTCTTTCCACGCAGTTTCTAACCATTTATCCCTTACAGCCGCACTTATTGTCTTATGTATTTTTCAAGGTTTCTTTCTGACCACACAAGAAAATATAACAAATTGTTTTTACTACCTCCCATTCGCAAATGTAGCAAAGTATACAAAGAGACCTGCTCCTTGCTTTTCTCCTTTTATCACACCTGGAAAACTCATTATAAAAGGCCTGGTGCTCGGCGGGCTGCCAACGAACCACAGAGTGTGTGGCGGGCGGCGGCGGCCAGAGAGGCCGGAAGTGGCTGCGGGCCCCGCCCCCCGGTTCGCGGGTTTCCGTCTGCGGATGAGTGCGGGGTGAGTCGGGACGTCCCGGCGCGGGTTTAGGTGTCCCTTTGTGGCCGTCCTCGACAGGTGCTCAGCTGCCTTGTCCCGGGTAGGGGTGTGTGTCTGTCTCCCGGTGGAGGCGCACGCGTGTGTGTGTGTGTGTGTGTCTGTCTCCCGGTGGAGGCGCACGCGTGTGCGCACCGAAACACTGCCCTCGCCCACCCCTGCTGCCGAGCCTCCCGGGAGCCGACCCCTGGGAGAGACCCTAGGGCGGGACGGGTGCTGTATCTCCGCGGCCAGAGCGGGCAGCATGGGGCCCGTGACAGGTGCCCCTTGTCTAGGGCCGTTTCTGGGTGTCTGGGTCGGTCCGCAGGGCGTTAGGAGACGGGGCTCTTGGGCCACCACCCACAGGCAAGCCTTGGATATGGGAGCCTTGCGCTGCTGCTCCACCCGGCGACAAGGTCATTACCGGTGCCTGGTGCCTGGATCTAGACTCGAGCGGACATGGGCGCCCTTGCCTCCCCGCGGTTTGTTCGTGGAGCAGCTGTCAGGAGGGAGTATTTCCTGGGGCCTCTCAATTGCCCGAATTCCGTCCCTTCCTTGTTACCCTCTGTACTGTCGAAGGTTGGGTTAAGAAAAAAAAGCTCCGGAAGGTGTAGACCTGGAATTGTCTTTACCCCAGAAACCTCTGCCCACTTGACATTTTATAGTTCCTCCATCCTAGAGCCACTTAATGACTCTTGAACCCAGTTAAACAGGTTGGCAGCCACCTAGGGTTTACAATCTAGCCCCATGTGGTGCAGAGGAATCTCAGGGCCCCCTTCCCTTTTTGGGGCATGCCCAGGCCCCGTGGCTTCCGGGAATGGCTAATGACAGAGAGGGAGTAACCTGCGAGGAGTGGTGCATGTGCGGGTCTCCACTCCCTTCTCCCTTTCTCCCTTTCTCGGACCTACCCAGCTGACAGTGGTGGGGTACGGCAGGAGAGAGAATTTTCTTACCTGTCTGCTAAAGTTGAAGGGGACCAATCTATACCCTCATCCTGTAAGTTTTATTCAACGTATGTTTTCTGTGCCAGGCGGTGTTCTAAGTACTTTACAAATATTAACAAATGTGTAACGACTCCATGAGGTAGATTCTTTTATTATTCCCCTTTAGAGATAGGGAAACTGAGGCACTGAGTAGTTAATAAATAACACAGCAAATAAGTGACAGAGATGGCGTTTGAATCTAGGCTGTCTTCTCCCTGTGCCAATGTTCTAATAACAATGTAGAGTAGTTCACCCAGCCTGGTCCTGGCATTGATTTTGTGTAGTCACAGCTCTCATGTGCAGCACATTAGGCAGCCTCTGAATGCCCATTTTTCACTTCTCTCTGCAGCGTCCAGCACCTGAGACTTCACAGCGAGGGCAGGGCGGGCATCCTCCCTGCAGTGCTTGTGGGACACCCGTGGATTCTCTGTCTTCAGGAGACACAGTCCCCCATCTGCCCACCCCCTTCCGCTGCCCGTGTCCAACTATGGGAGACTTAGGAGTCTCTACTATGCCTGCCTCTCTTACCTGGAAGCAGCTTTGCTCTTACTCAGTATCCAGGTGACTCCCTCTTCTGGTACCTAAGTTCCCCATAAGCTTTTGCCACTGAGCCTTATCAGTATAGATTTTGTACCTGAGAACTTCATGTTTTCATTCTTTACAGCAGTGGTGCTAAGCTGGGGGCCCTTTAACTGCCAAGGTAAAATTCAGCAGTGTCTGCAGATGTGTTTTGATTGTCATGTTGGGAGGTGGGTAGTGCTACTGGCATCTAGTGGGTAGGCGCAGGGTGCTGCTGGACACCCAGCTGTGTACAGGACAGCCCCCCAGCCTCCCACAGCATAGACTAGTCCCACCCACATGTTAGCAATGCTCTACACAGACACCTATTTGCCTAATGCTTTCACATTCTTCCATCCTTTCACTTAACAACAATAAACTTACTCTGTGTTTACTGTGTGTCAGGACCTGGGGAATACAAAAATGAGTAAGCTTAAGACAGAGATGTGTTCAACACAGTCAACTTCAGCAGGGCAGACAGATTTTTAAGTGGAGAGCGAGGACGGACAGGTGCTGTTGTGTGTTTCCTGTGAAGTCCATGGCGCACTCTCAGCGTGCTCTTTGCATGGGAGGAGACGGTCCCTTCAGCATGAGGGGTGAGAAGGCTCCACAGAGGAGGGGACATGTGGTCTGTTTGCCCCACTGAGACGTAGCAGCAGGGGCCCCCGAAACTTGGGGAAGAAATTTGCGCATCTACTCCCGGACCTTGTCCTGGGTCCCTGGGCCTGCGGAGGGGCCACCTGCATTGTAGTGGTTCATAGAGATTTCCTGCTTCCAGGAATCTTCTGCAGAAGCTCAGCTCCAGCCACGGTGAGCCCGCCATGGCGACAGAGTCCAGACCCAGAGCAGCCCTGGAAGCCCCGTCCGCAGATGACCGGCTGGGTCTTCTTGTCATAAAGGTGGAGGACGGTGAGGCCGGTTGCAGCCGCAGCCCCGCTCCGGGACCCGAGCGATCCCGCCAGCGCTTCCGCGGCTTCCGCTACCCCGAGGCCGGGGGGCCCCGCGAGGCGCTGGGCCGGCTGCGCCAGCTCTGCCGGCTGTGGCTGCGGCCCGAGACGCACAGCAAGGAGCAGATGCTGGAGCTGCTGGTGCTGGAGCAGTTCCTGAGCATCCTGCCCGGGCACCTGCAGGCCCGCGTGCGCGCGCAGCACCCGGAGAGCGGGGACGCGGCGGTGGCCGCGCTGGAGTCCCTGGACAGGCAGCTGCCTGAGCCCAGGCCGCAGGTAGAGGCGCGCTGTTTCCCCTGAACTCGGGACGAGCGTGGGCATTCCTTTCTGACCCCGAGTTGGGAGTGTCTGCGCCGTGAATCTCCCAGGCAGTGAGGTGAAGCCCCGGGCCCCTGTCACAGTTAGTGACATTCTAAGTGTATAAAGGAACATATACAGGAACACGGAAGGTCTCGGTTGTGTGGGACTGTAGTTACCCGAGCGTTCCCCAAAGTCGTGTGAACGCTATGTAGGTGCATTTTCAAATGAATGCGCTAAATAGGAAGATGTAGGGACAGACCCAGTAGCGGTCATTTCAAGGTTCTAAGCAGGAGCGACTCAGGCACTATTTGCCTACTTGTGATGTGATGTGAGCACATCGGCAGTTTCTGTTGGTGACAGAGCCCTGGGTATGCTTATGCCATGTGGCTCTGTTGCTTCTCTAGTAAAAATAAAGATCCTTTTTTTCCTGTTCACGGACCACAGGTTCAAAGGTTCTGCTGGAAAAGAGGTTGATTTTCTTCCTGCATCTTCTTGCCTGTTTTAGCAGGCTGTTGTCGTGTGTCCTTGTGAACGTTCCTTCCAAGGACGTGTGGCTAGATCCTTCTAACCAGTGACCAAGAGACCAGGGTTCTTGATGGGGACCTACTGCACCCGTGCCCCATAACGGAAAAGTCACTTTAAGTCACTTATCCCCGGGCTCTTCATTTTTTTATTTTTAGATTTTTTTTTTTAATTGGGGAATTGAGAGAGGGGAACAGGCAAGTTGTTTTCCTTCAATCTTAGTTGTGGAGGGCGCAGCAGCTCAGCTCCAAGGCCAGTCGCGCCACTAAGCTCAAGGTGCTGTGTTCAATTAGTTGCGGGAGGGTATAACCACCATCCCATGCAGATGTCAAACTGGCAGCCTTGTTAAGAGCGTGTGCTCTATCCCCTGAGCCACATGTGCAGCAGCTCAGCTCAAGGTGCCGAGTTTAGTCTTTAGTTGCGGACGGGCATAGCCCACCATCTCGAACAGGGAACCTTGTTGTTAGAATGCTCTCACCAGCTGAGCCATCCTGCCACCTGTTGGCAGCTCAGCTTGGGCACATCTCACTGGCCCATGTGGGAATCGAACCAGCAACCCTGTTGCTCAGAGCTTGCACTCTTGAGCAAGCTCTTAACCAACTGAGCCACTCTGCCGGCCCCCAGGCTCTTCATTCTTTAAAGAGGATGTGGGAAATTCTGAGCTGCACGTGAGAAAGGAATTTGAGTGTAAATGTCTGGAGGGAAGCCTGCATTTACCACACACACACTACGTGGAGGGCACTGTGTAGGTGCTTCACACACCGTGACCTCGTTGACTGGTCCCCAGGAGCCTGTACGCTAGAAATTATTGTCCTCGTTTTTCAGATAAGAGATAGGAGTGTTCTCTGAAAACTCAGACCAAAAAAATTTTCACAAAAGCACAAATGTTATAATATGGGTTCGGAGAGTTATGGTTAAGAGCACGAACTCTGGAGCCACTCCGCCCGAGCGCCATCGTGGCACTGACACTTATTAGCTGGGTGACGTTGGGCAAGCTACAGATACTCAGTACCCCACTTTCCCCATTACAAAAAAAGCGACAATAATAGTACCTAGCTCATAGGGTTGTTGTCTGCGTTGGGTGAATTAATGTTTGCAAAGCTCATAGAAGTAGTGCCTGGAAAACAGAAGGTACTAGAAGGTACATGCAGAGCATGATAGAAGTGTTTGATGAGTGAATAAATGAATGACTTCCAGGTACCAGGTGGTGACCAGGGGCAGCTGCTGTGTTGCAAGATGGCCGTGTTGACACCAGCTCAGAGGTCACAAAGTGCCCGGTTCCAGTCAATGGAGGCTCTGCTCAAACACGAGTGTGTGGGGTCCCAGTCCCCACCAGACAGAGGTGAGGATTATCTTACTTGACCTCATCCAGTTGGACTTCAGGGTCACAACAACACAGATCTGTTGCCGGGGGCTCCATGTGCCCAGCACAGATCGACTTGACTTTGAGACTGAGATGAAAAGGGAAGTTTCAAACAGTGGTGGAGAGCCTTCCTAACCAAATCTGCACGTATTAAGGTAGACACCGTGAAAATGTGAGTTTGGAAATAATTGATTTTTTAACAACACAGCAGTCTCCATTTTTAACATATCTTTATGGAGACCCCTACGTGGTAGCCGTGGCAGTAGGCATCAGGGGTACAGGTGGCAGTAAGATTTCTTGCTGCCATGGAGGTTACATTCCGGGAAGGAAGATAGCATATAAATTCATAATACAATTTTAGGCACTGGTAAATGTTGTGAAGAAGATAAGGCAGAATCGCTAAAGCCAGCCGGAACAGTCCCGAGATTGTAGGACTGCTGCAAATAGAAGAGCATAAACCCTTGGCCTTTAACAAGAACAGGGTGAAAATCACTCAGTAGAAAACTACTCTGTGTTCCCGGGTGTTCGCCATGTGCTGTGAACTCCTGGGCGGACTCCCAAGACACAGGACACTGGGACACGCCACTCACAACACGCAGTCCTTATTTCTAAACTGTAAAAGTTCCCCTTCACTTCTCGAATCTGAGCAAGTTCTATATAAGCAGACACCCGTTTCTTCCTTTCTGGGCCCAGCCCTGTCTGGCTCCTCGAGGTTTTTAAAAGTAAAGCAGAAAGCACCCTAAGAGCTACGAAAGACCCTGTAACAACACCAACAGAAATCCTCTTATCTCTTTTCTTGGCGAAGCTCAAGACTAAAGCGTCTTCAAAAGGAAGGCTCTGTGTTGTTTTCATGTTGCTGTCACTGCACCATCCCTACCGAGCAGCCTGCTTTTTCTGTCATTTTTATCCGTCTACAGCGCACACCACACGTCTTGGGGCTCTAGGATTGGAGCTGGTGGGGTCAGGAGTTCTGGAAAGGATCCCTCTGTACAACTTCCAGGCAGGAAGGTGCTAACCCAGCATGTGAACTTGGGTCCCAGAGGCAAGAAGGCTGGATGCAAGGGCAGATCTCACCCAGGGCCTCTCTGCTTCCCAGCTCTGCAGGTGCCCGGGCTTGCTGTGGACGGGTGCTGCACAGGACACGCAGTGGTGGCCGCCGGGCTCACCCCAGAGCCCCAGGTGAGCTGGAGTCCCCCTCCCTCTTCCGTGCCCTCTGGTCCTGTGTGCTGCCATGGGGTCCCGCCCTCTCCACCCTAGACCCCCACCCAAGTCCTAGATGGGATTTTCATGTCCTCATCTGTGCCGAGGCTGTTGACCATCTTCTCACTACTTTTTGGTGCCTGGCGAAGAGCTTTGTCCTGCTGTGTCTCTTTTCCTCTAGAACGGAAAGTTGACTTATGCACATGGTTAAGGGTGTCTAAGGGCTTTGTGTTATAGTCCATTGTTAAGTAAGCAACAGCATGATGGTCACTTTGACTTTATAATTATGACCTGTGATAGGATGACTTTCATAACTAGGAGAAACCACTNCGGGTTTCCGTCTGCGGATGAGTGCGGGGTGAGTCGGGACGTCCCGGCGCGGGTTTAGGTGTCCCTTTGTGGCCGTCCTCGACAGGTGCTCAGCTGCCTTGTCCCGGGTAGGGGTGTGTGTCTGTCTCCCGGTGGAGGCGCACGCGTGTGTGTGTGTGTGTGTGTCTGTCTCCCGGTGGAGGCGCACGCGTGTGCGCACCGAAACACTGCCCTCGCCCACCCCTGCTGCCGAGCCTCCCGGGAGCCGACCCCTGGGAGAGACCCTAGGGCTGGACGGGTGCTGTATCTCCGCGGCCAGAGCGGGCGGCATGGGGCCCGTGACAGGTGCCCCTTGTCTAGGGCCGTTTCTGGGTGTCTGGGTCGGTCCGCAGGGCGTTAGGAGACGGGGCTCTTGGGCCACCCACAGGCAAGCCTTGGATATGGGAGCCTTGCGCTGCTGCTCCACCCGGCGACAAGGTCATTACCGGTGCCTGGTGCCTGGTGTCGGGATCTAGACTCGAGCGGACGTGGGCGCCCTTGCCTCCCCGCGGTTTGTTCGTGGAGCAGCTGTCAGGAGGGAGTATTTCCTGGGGCCTCTCAATTGCCCGAATTCTGTCCCTTCCTTGTTACCCTCTGTACTGTCGAAGGTTGGGTTAAGAAAAAAGCTCCGGAAGGTGTAGACCTGGAATTGTCTTTACCCCAGAAACCTCTGCCCACTTGACATTTTATAGTCCCTCCATCCTAGAGCCACTTAATGACTCTTGAACCGAGTTAAACAGGTTGGCAGCCACCTAGGGTTTACAATCTAGCCCCATGTGGTGCAGAGGAATCTCAGGGCCCCCTTCCCTTTTTGGGCATGCCCAGGCCCAGTGGCTTCTGGGAATGGCTAATGACAGAGAGGGAGTAACCTGCGAGGTGTGGTGCATGTGTGGGTCTCCACTCCCTTCTCCCTTTCTTCCTTTCCTGGATCTACCCAGCTGACAGTGGTGGGGTACGGCAGGAGAGAGGATTTTCTTACCTGTCTGCTAAAGTTGAAGGGGACCAATCTATACCCTCATCCTGTAAGTTTTATTCAGCGTATGTTTTCTGTGCCGGGCGGTGTTCTAAGTACTTTACAAATATTAACAACTGTGTAACGACTCCATGAGGTAGATTCTTTTATTATTCCCCTTTAGAGATAGGGAAACTGAGGCACTGAGTAGTTAATAAATAACACAGCAAATAAGTGACAGAGATGGCGTTTGAATCTAGGCTGTCTTCTCCCTGTGCCAATGTTCTAATAACAATGTAGAGTAGTTCACCCAGCCTGGTCCTGGCATTGATTTTGTGTAGTCACAGCTCTCATGTGCGGCACATTAGGCAGCCTCTGAATGCCCATTTTTCACTTCTCTCTGCAGCGTCCAGCACCTGTGACTTCACAGCGAGGGCAGGGCGGGCATCCTCCCTGCAGTGCTTGTGGGACACCCGTGGATTCTCTGTCTTCAGGAGACACAGTCCCCCATCTGCCCACCCCCTTCCGCTGCCCGTGTCCAACTATGGGAGACTTAGGAGTCTCTACTATGCCTGCCTCTCTTACCTGGAAGCAGCTTTGCTCTTACTCAGTATCCAGGTGACTCCCTCTTCTGGTACCTAAGTTCCCCATAAGCTTTTGCCACTGAGCCTTATCAGTATAGATTTTGTACCTGAGAACTTCATGTTTTCATTCTTTACAGCAGTGGTGCTAAGCTGGGGGCCCTTTAACTGCCAAGGTAAAATTCAGCAGTGTCTGCAGATGTGTTTTGATTGTCATGTTGGGAGGTGGGTAGTGCTACTGGCATCTAGTGGGTAGGCGCAGGGTGCTGCTGGACACCCAGCTGTGTACAGGACAGCCCCCCAGCCTCCCACAGCATAGACTCGTCCCACCCACATGTTAGCAATGCTCTACACAGACACCTATTTGCCTAATGCTTTCACATTCTTCCATCCTTTCACTTAACAACAATAAACTTACTCTGTGTTTACTGTGTGTCAGGACCTGGGGAATACAAAAATGAGTAAGCTTAAGACAGAGATGTGTTCAACACAGTCAACTTCAGCAGGGCAGACAGATTTTTAAGTGGAGAGCGAGGACGGACAGGTGCTGTTGTGTGTTTCCTGTGAAGTCCATGGCGCACTCTCAGCGTGCTCTTTGCATGGGAGGAGACGGTCCCTTCAGCATGAGGGGTGAGAAGGCTCCACAGAGGAGGGGACATGTGGTCTGTTTGCCCCACTGAGACGTAGCAGCAGGGGCCCCCGAAACTTGGGGAAGAAATTTGCGCATCTACTCCCGGACCTTGTCCTGGGTCCCTGGGCCTGCGGAGGGGCCACCTGCATTGTAGTGGTTCATAGAGATTTCCTGCTTCCAGGAATCTTCTGCAGAAGCTCAGCTCCAGCCACGGTGAGCCCGCCATGGCGACAGAGTCCAGACCCAGAGCAGCCCTGGAAGCCCCGTCCGCAGATGACCGGCTGGGTCTTCTTGTCATAAAGGTGGAGGACGGTGAGGCCGGTTGCAGCCGCAGCCCCGCTCCGGGCCCCGAGCGATCCCGCCAGCGCTTCCGCGGCTTCCGCTACCC